GAAAACATAATGTGTTCTAAAAATTCTCTTTTTAAGAATCCACCAATTTTGACTGCGACCACATCAGCTAAATGTAACAATGAGAATATTGTCAATGCTAATAACTTAGGTAAGCGAACCTGTGTAATTTATTAATTAATGTATCAAATGGTCGCCAAAGCGAGTGTCTTTCTTATTATTTAATATATCAAATTATAAAAGCCTAATTAGAATACACAATTTTCTAATAGCATCACCGACACGATGGACGTGTTTTATTCTTCTTTCCTTTTCACAGTTAATTTTGCCAGTGACGCTATTAGAGCCTACAACTAAGAAGAAGGGTGTTAGTAGAGAAAATATTGTTCTTAAGTAAAAATTAAAAAATCTTAATATAATAATTATTATATAACTAAGAAGAAAACTAAACTATGCGTAGATGGAAGTTAAAATATTTGTATTAGCTCCCTGGGCTTACGATAACTTAAACCACCTTAAAGTTGCAACTCAATCGTATAGCTTTTGTATTGTCGATAGATACTTTTCTATGATTAGTGAGAGGTGATTTCCTGGGAGCTGGATATATATTAGTTGGGTATTCTCTACTACGCCACACTATAATATCTCTAAGAACATTTCCAATTTACCATTTTATTTCTTTTCAGACATAAGTGAACCCCTATCAGAAGACCATGGAGATGAAAATACAAATGGCCAAAAGGAGCAGCAGAAGGATACAAAAACAGATGCGGGTGATAAAACTACAAAACTTCAAACTGAAATAGATAACGATGATATTACCGTATATAATGTTAATGTAAATAAGCAAGCCGAGGACAATATTAAAACAGTACAAGACGACATTAATATAAAAGAGTCCATTTCAAAAATCAGCCCTCAAATAGATAGCTTGGAATCTATACAAGAGTCCCAAGCGGAAGTCATCATACCATCACTAAAAAGCCCAATTGGCGAAAATAATGAATTAGTTTCAAAATCTATTATTGCTGAGGGCCCAAAGAAAAATATGCGAGAGGAAGCAAATATGAAGCCACTCAGCCCAACAAGTACATCTATTTTAGAACATGAGAAACGGCTAAGCCCAAGTGATACAAATAATACAGCAGCGGTTTGTGACCAAAATGCACCTTTAGAAGCAACCAATTCTTCTTGGAAAAGTGCTGATTATGATAAAGTCGATCAGGTAAACCAATTTGAAATTTTAGTAATTGTAGTATTGACGAAAACATGTGTTCTAAAAATTCTCTTTTTAAGAATCCACCAATTTTGACTGCGACCACTTCAGCTAAATGTAACAATGAGAATATTGTCAATGCTAATAACTTAGGTAAGCGAAATTGTATAATATTTTTTTATACTTTCAGTCGCTAATGTGTACGTTTAACATGTACAGTAACGATAATAATGGCATTGTCTTGTTTACCTTTCAAACCCTTAAGTCAAAAATCAAAAACAGAACAAGTGCAAGGGCATTAATCAGGAGTGGCCGGCTAGGGTTCACCCTGAGCTACCAATACAAGAACCTTCTTCTATATATAACATATGTACATGTATATACAAAGTCACACATACATATAGACAAACACGCAAGCAAGGAGGCTACCGACAGCGTACCTTACGTCAAACAAAGTAGAATAACTCTGTCAAGAGTAAAGTGATTCAAAAATACAATGTAGTAATAAAGATAAATAAGAAAAAAGTTCCTACGGCAGGGTTCGACCTCGCAACATACCGTACCACTTGCCATTGCCTCTACTAAACAGCCACACCTATACTTGACTTTTGTTGAAAAAAAAGCGAATTAAAAAAGCAGCACAGAAAACAATCGCAATTGTAATGCTGTTAATAGAATTCGAAGAAGACGCGCATGAATATGTGTGTACATATATACATAAATTCTTGCAATTTGCGCTAGCTGCTGCAAGCACGCGACCAGCCGAAACACGTTTACTTTAATAACTTTTGGTTCTTAAACAATCTTGATGAAGTTTTCAACAGTATATCCTATTGTACTATTTTCGTTTCTTCAAAAAGATAATTGCATTAAAATTATGGCTTAAATTGGTGGGTAGTTCAAATTGGTTTTTTTATCTGATTGGTAGATATGAAGAAGCTATTTGTTAAATTTGATAACACTAGCTCTTCAAACTTACGAAAAGTGCTCAAAACACAGGACTTTGATAAGCTTTTTATTACTTAGAAACGGAAGATGGGAAACAAATTCGTACTGCGCAGGCACTAGGATGACCTACAGCTAAAATTTCAAGACTCTAGCCCTTATAGACTCTAGCCCTTGCGTTCATACATACGCACAGACAGACAGGCGGAAATGGCTCTCTCTCGGCTGTTGATGCTAATCAAGAATACATATACTTTATAGGGTCAGAGATGCTTCCTTCTGCTTTTTGCATACATTTGCATAAATATATTATAGCCTTTTTACACATTTTTATGGGTTCACAGTATAAAAAATTGAAAAAAAGTTCCAACTGCAGAATTTTTTTAGTGTTTTAGTGATAAACAAAAATATTAGTGTAATCAGCGTGATATTTACGTAATATAATTAAACGGTGTAGTTAAAAGATATTCGTTATACATATTCTTGATCAGGACGACGAGTTTTGTCGATCTAGCGTTCGTCTGTGTGAACGCGTCCATTTAAAAAACTACAAAAACTGGACTTTTAAAGACTTTGCGTTTTGCCTAAGTCTTAGATTCCTGTTGACTGGTTACCTTCTTCCATTACATTTTTCCATTCGAGAAAGTTTAGTAAGAGTACAGAATGCCCCTGTTGGACCGAGGTGCTTTTCGGCGACGTCTGCAATTGAAGGGTGAAATTGTATGAACGAGGTAGGGGGATATGAATGTAGTGGTATAAACATGGGGGTGTGCATACATGGGCACCTCGTTGTACTTTTTTTTCCGTCCGGAGGTAATAGGTTTAGAGCCATATTTTGGAATAGTTGGAATTCTTTTTTATTGCTTGCGTCCGTCTAAAATAGTCCCAGGAGAAGTAAAAGTATTCGGAAAAAAAAGATTTTTGAGAAAATGAAGTATCCGTTAAGAGATTTTTCACGGAATATGTACATATACAGAAAGGGAAGTTTCAATTTTTGTGATAGCAGCTTAGAGGTTGGCCCAGGTATCTCCTAGTCGGACGCTCCGAACTAGAGTTATTTTATTAGTTTTTATATAACATACACGATTCCGGACTAATTTACGTATTACTATTTTCAAAGCATCAAATAAAATAAGTGAGGAAGTGGAAACTGGCCCTCTAGTTATCGAAGTAAATACTGGTGAGAATTCAAAGCAATGTAGTATTCTAAAACTTGTCCTTAACATTAGCAGAACCAATCTTCGTTGCCTTTAAGTAATCAATTAATTGGCACACATATCAATAAAAGTACAACAAATACAATAAAAAAAAAACCGACCGCTAAGGATAAGCAATTAACAATTTCCACATCGAGCCGGTTAATGAATCCACCCATTGCTGAACTGCAACTTAAGTCATTTAAAACATCCGAAGAAGGCTCATGGTATACAGTTTATAATGCACCCAATGCGTTAAACATTAATACTAATGAAGCTAGTCAAATTAATAGCTGCGGTTGTAAAAATAATAATCTGGCTTTAGAAGAAATACGCCCATTCAAAGAGGTTGAGCGAACTGCAAGCTATATATATGGAGAGCAAATTAAAAACAATGAACCACTAAAGCATCAGAAATCAATTACATTTTTTATTTCATTTGATGGAAACGAAAACAAGAAAACTTTCAAAATACCAAAAAAATTTTTAAGAAAATCAGAAAGTAATATAACAAATAAAAATAATAAAGACTACCACAAAAACGAGGTCCCACAAGATGAAAAGAGATTCGATCGATTCGCATTATCTGATTTAAGCTACCAGGAATTAAGTACACTAAAGTTACAAACTATACATGAGCTCAATGAATATGAAATAGGCAGTGACCCGAGAATTGATATAGGTATATCAGTTCATAAACAGCCTGAAAAGAAAGATGAAGAAGAGATTAAGGATAATTATCCAGAGGCTAAATTTATCGCTCAAAATGAAACTATTTGTGATAGCAATGAATTAAATTCATTAAAATCAAAAGAAAAAAATCAGCATAAGAAACCTTTTGCTAATAATATAAAACACAAGAAAAGCGCAAAAATTATAGAAAGAGCTTATATCAACTACAAAGCTCGACGAATGCACGTCCAGGTAAACACTGTGAATGACAGTGGAAACAAGAAGACTGCTCTTCTCAGTAATGAAGACTTGACAACTACAGATATATATTCAAAAATTGAACAAAATAAAATCCTTGCAGCCACTAAAATTCAGAAATCATTTAGAAGATTCCTGGCAAGAACCGCACCAAAGACATCTGAAACTGGGTATTACACAAATCAAAAATATACAAATGTTGGTGCAGCAACCAACCAAGCAAAACCAGAATGGTTTGTAGGTTCGCAACGTATATTACTTTTACCAAGCGAACCTGCAACTTTTGAGCCTATTGAGGCTACCGCAGCTTCTGAAACCGCTTCACGCATACCCGAGTCCGGTACCAGTACATTTAGCGAAATCAGTAATATAGGTACCCAAATAAATGGCTCATTAAAATTGGCTACTGATATTGGCAACATTGTTAATGAATTATATTCAACCAACGTAATTCAAAAAGATAATGGAGCTTATAATAATTTAGCAGGTTCAACGAACGGAGACGAATTCGATTTAGTTAAGGACCTAAGAGTATGTTTAGAAGCGGGTCCAGACTCCAAAGGTAAGATATATATAATTATACGCAATATTCCTTTACAAAAATTGTAACACCTTATATTTACTTTTAATAGAAACCAAACTCTCTTCTAAAGAAGAAACTAATTCCCATGTTCCAGTGGGACAGGATAATGGATCAGATGAGTTGCATGAAATCGAATTTGTAAAAAAAACTGATTCACATACTAATATTTATGACGATAGCGCAGATAATGAAACAGACACTAAAAAAGAATACAAGCTCCATCCTCAAAATGAAACTCAAAGTAGTTTAGATACACTGAATAGTACAACTTTGAAATTATCGCGAGCAGATAAAACAATTGAGAAAATGTCACAACGGCGCTCCTCCGAAACTCAAGAGAGTATAGAGAAGGAGGTTTTTCCTATTACTGATGCAATATATGAGAAGCCTTCTGTTCAACCTATGAGCTCCTTGCAAGAACAAAATTCATTCGATATCGAGGATGGTGACATAATAGTATATAATCGCCTACAGCGCGAAGAAACTCGTGAAAGCTCAGCTCAAAGCGAATCTATTGTGTTTGGAAATGCTGATGACGACAAAGCTCTTACAAATGACGTAGAAATTAGCAGATCACACCTATCACGGTATTACACGATTGCCGGTGACGATCCACATAGTATTTTTAAATCAGGGACAATAGTTGATCCAGTCAAATACATTGACGAGGGAAATGAACACGGTGTCAATGAACCAAACATCAGCAGCAGTTTATGTTTAGACGATGAAACCTCTGAGAACATTCGTAAAAAGATAATGGCGTACTCCCTGTCAGAGGCGGACTCTGATTATTACGATACTAACAAAATCATTAAAGATGATTATCATATAGACACTGCAATGACTGATGTTATAGACACATCCACAGAAACTGAATCGACTATTGTATCAACATCTGCTAAAATAAAGCCAGGAGCACGAGGAATTTTATCTAGACGAAGGTTACGCGGTGCCAGTGCAGGTACAAAGTCATCGACCCAAGATACAAAAGCATCTTTCGGGAACGATGCTTTAAGCGAATCATTAGAACGGTTTATTGAAGAGGAAGCTGCTAAGAAAATCCAAGTAGCATATCGTTTACACAAAAAAAACCCTAGAAAACAAACTAAAGGTTTGGAAAGTATCAGTTTGGAAAACAGTTTGGCAGCCAAACGACAAACACTGCAACGTGGCGACGCACTGCAAAATGATTCAAATTCTACACCAGAGGATGAAAATACCGATATCACTACTGTCGACCATCTGCCAATAATTGTCAGGAAAAATGATGGGTCTAATAATGGTAAGCTATTAACATTATTTGAAAAACTAGCCAATTTCAAAATTTTATTGTCATGCCCTTTTTACAATAGAAATATGCTCGTATAAGACAAGCGACATGCGCGTAACCTGGACTGCCTTAAGGCAAAACTCTATGCCCGTCCAAATTGATTGTGAAGTTCTAAGAATTATTCCCAAACACAAGCGAAGACGCATAAAAAGTGCAGAGGCTGGAAAGCAAAAAATTAGAAAATAAGTTTTACTTAAGGATTACAATACTGTCATATACATATGTACAAGAAGATAAAAATGTTCCGATATAAGAAGCAGTGAAAAGCATCGCATGATTTATGTTATTTATTAATTGAAAATCGATCTCTTTATTTTAAACAGTTTGTACTGACTGACGGGCTCACTGATTGGTGATCGACGCACAGACAGTGTGTAAAAATCGCAACGAGAAAGAAAGGCTCTAATATCCTAACAGATCCAACCTTTTCATAATGCTTATAGTGCTTTGCCCGTTTCTAAGAAGCAGAGGGAAAATAGTTAATGCCGAGTTTGGTCAAGATATCTTGATGAACATAATGTTTTTTCATACAAAAACTTAATTTTCGACCGATCGTTCCTAAGGCAGCTATATGATATAGTGGTCCGATCCAGCGGTTCTAGTCGGGAGCTTCCGACTAAGGGAAACCCTGAACCCTCTCATTCCAACACCAAATGCAGCTCGCCCTACGCGCTCGTTTGTTGTAATAAAGATAAATTAAAACGAGAAAGAAAGACTATCTTCGGCACGCCGAAGATCTAATACCATTGCAGACCCAACCTTTTCATAATGCTTATAGTGCTTTGCCCGTATCTAAGAAGCACAGGGAAAATAGTTAATGCCGAGTTTGGGCAAGATTGCAGGTTATCGATTGGCTGCTGATAACAAGCTGCACACGGATGCAAGTTCCATTGGATTAGCCGAAGGGCTGCTACGGACAAAAACCAAGTGCTGCCGATCGCTTCCTTTAGTTGAGCAACTTCTAAGAATCTCAATTTTTTTTCTGAAGATGTACCAGAAACGAAATAGAGCTAGCCACTAATTTTCCCTACGGATTGTTATTGATAATCTGAGGAGAACCAAAGACGCCCTTTATCTTAGAAAGGGAGGATTTAACACATATGATCTACGACCGATCATATAGAATAAGAACAATTTTGTCCATGGTCACCAGTCTAAGCGGTGAAATAGTAAGCAGGAGTGGTAGTTTACTTCTTTTGTTATTTAGTAACACTGCACTAATTGGAAGATCTGAGAATGCTTATCCTGCATATATTCAGGCTTTCAAAATATTGTAATAAATTCGATCTTTTCGTTTTAATCTTTGTTATCGAAGAATTCACACAAACGGAAAACGGGCGGATAGGCAGACACACATGACTAGATCAACTTCGTTGTTGGTGCTAATAGTATATACTTTATGAGGTCTTCTATCTATATTAATATATAATAAAATACGACGATTGTAAGAAGACATTAGCAATCCCAGAATACACAAATGTATGTAAGCATATGTATAAAATATTTGGTTGACCACAAACACATTAAAGATTTTTAAATGTACTATATATAAGTACTATTACTTAACAAAAGTACGTTTATATTTATTTTCATGTTTATATTTCTCATGACAATAATCTACTTCTATATATGTACAATATGTATTTGCATGCTAGAACACACAGAACTAGAATGTATATAAATAAATTTAAAATATACACGTTACGAAGATTACGCTTCAAAACTACGGCTGCTTGAATTTTTCAACTTCCTTGCGTGCCTTGAATCCACGAAAGCTCGACTGTATTTTAACTGCTGCATCCGTCGCAATTTTCTGCTTCTTCCGCACAAGAAAGCCACGAAAGCCAGCTTGAATTTTTGTTGCAGAACGGTTCTCCACCGAGCTTACATCCGCCATGACGGGATGTGGCTGCCCGTCAGCAGCTTTAGGCAACTGTGGTTGATTCTCTTCCATGATGAAGTCGTTAATGTGGGGATGCTGTTGACGTTGCTGACGTCTAGCACCAATCGAATGCTGATTTGCGTAGCGCTGAGACAAGTGGCCGTTGGTACGAGAACTATTAGATTTGGACAACCGGTATAGCTGTTTGCGTACACGATAGCCCCGAAAACCAGCTTGTATCTTAATGGCTGCACTTTCTTCAGACTGTAAAGTTAACTCTGCTTCGGGCGAGCTCGGATATATGTACATGATCTTTAACAGCCCCAAACACAGCTGTTTTAATTTCCAGACAATTAGGTAAGGCAGGGGTCACATTTACAATCAGACAGATACACACAATAGATTTTCACTAATAGTTTTCTGATTTCCCTAGGTAACTGTATGAACTGGCTCTTACGAGAGCTATAAACGTACTGACGTATATATAACGGAATTGGCTGCTGTGTGCCGAGAATTTTCATTTAATTTTTCCATTCACAAAACAAAAGGCCCCACTCATCGTTTATGCTCTCGTACATAGTCACTTACCCCGCCGTTGTATTACGTATTTGTATCTTTTATATTTGTGTACATTGTATACAAATACATTTATGAATATACATATGCATATGTATATACAAATGTATACGTATGCACACTCTTGTATGTAAATATTGAAAGTACAAAAATGTATGTACATATATACACATATGTGTCGAACATGCTTTGTATATGTTTGTATTTTATTGTATTTGTGAGTTTACGTATTCAAATCTATGTCCTATGTAGTATGTATGCAGCCAGATTTGTGTGTATCTTTTAGTCTTTTGAAAAACTCGCGGATGTTCATGACGTTAATGATTGTACTCTGTTTCCAATGGAAATAAACAGTATATTGGACGAAGCCAATTCGTATGTAAGGTCGTATGCAACATTTTTAGTATAAAAGTATTTCAGTTATTTCTAAAATATCAGAAAAATATTTTAAAATGTATTATACATTTGGAAAGCTCCTATACGTGCCAAAATTGTATTTGGAATACTGTTGGACTGATATTATTTAGGGAACAGAGTATTGTACAGTTGATATCCAACAACTGTATCGTTCTTTATGTGCTTAATTGAAAAATATAATCAAAAATCTCGACAGTTCTGTGAACTAGTCTTGCATATTCAATTGCAATTGCTGTCTCAATTATGTATTTACATAAATATGATTCGAAATGGCATATGGCGTCTTTATCTGCTTACGCTAACCTCTTTACCTTTTGACTGGTTGGTGATCAGCAGAAGATGCAGAAGCTTGGAAGCCAAAATTTGTATATCAACAGATTCACGCCAATTTTTTTAGTCTAAAATCGTTGAGACACGCCTTTACTTATTGCTATGTATGTATAAGCGCATACAGCATTTGATCTCCTTTTTTTATCCAAAGCGATTGATTTTTCAAAAATAATGAAACACCTTCCAAATGTGTTTTCACAAAGATTTCTTAAATGAACTTTCCGCATTTTGGAAGAAAAACATAAAAGTTTTAAACAAACCTTTTCCACAAATTTTCTACAAAAGCAGAAAGAATTTACCAATTTAATTTTCGTGGCCATACATCACATACTGTAACTTAGTTAAAAAATTTGCAGCTTCCTAACTGTAAATTAGTAAAATAAAAGCATTAAATGAAATTTATTAGTAACACCAACGTAAACCTTTTCGTACATTTCTATGTTAAACAGTTCTGTATCTACATATGTAAGTATTCTAAAACAAGTAAGAGGTTCTAGTCGGGAGCTCCCGACTAGGGGATACCCTGAACCCTCTTCTTCCAACATCAAATGTATATATATATTATATTTTAGAAACTATATGTCAAGTTTGGTGACTCTAGCTCTTATTATTTACCAACATTTCCCAAAAAACAGGATATCGATATAGATTTGTATCGATTGCTTGGAAACGGAGTATGGTATTGATTATCGGAAACAAACTCGATCTGCGCGGGAGCTAGGAGCATCTACATCTAAAATTTCAATTCTCTAGCTCTTATAGGTTCTGAGATCCTTGCGTTCATACATACGGACGGACGGACGGACGGGCAGACAGACGGACACGGCTAGATCGACTTGGCTATTGATGCTGATCAAGAATATATATACTTTATGGGGTCGGAGATGCTTCCTTCTGCCTGTTACATACATTTGGATTTTGCACAAATACAATATACCCTTGTACCCATTTTTAATGGGTTCAGGGTATAAAAATGTTTGGTACGTTATAACATACAATTGATTAATTATTTTTATTATTTTTACACTGTCCCAATTAAAAATTTGTAAAAACGGTATATTGGCTGAATGGAAGAAAATTGTTCTATGGACGGTTGATTGCCGGCCCCTAACTTAAGTCCAATATGCTACCGGCTATTCAAAAGAAAATACTCCGTCAGCGAGGATACACTTCTGCTGTTGCCTCAAATTCAGACAATTATTGGTGGAGCTACATATATGCCCATGTACAGTGTTCAATAAAAGTAAATTGCGCAGCCTTCCCGAAACTCAGCCTGTCACCTTCAAAATAGGTTCGCAGACGCGCATGAAAGTGTGCACATGTATACAGAAATTCTTGGAATTTGCGCTAGCTGCCGCAAACACGTGGGCAGTCGATAATACACATAACTTTTGTATGTTTCTTAACCGATCTTAAAGATATTTTCTGCAGTATATCATATTGTACCATAGAATATTAGTGTATTCTCAAAAAATAAATTGCATTAAAATTGTAGCTTAAATTTGTGGGCAATACAACTTGGGTTATTAACTGGATTTATAGCTATGAGGTAGTCGCGGGGTTGTGGCGATAGGTATAAAATGAAAGATACTTGATACATATATAATATTCTAGAAGCAACTTATCAAGTTTGGATGTCGATACCGATTTTTATCGATTGCTTGGAAGCGGAGTAAGTTATCGATTATCGGAAACAAACCCGATCTGCGCAGGCACTGGGAGGACCTGCAGCTATTTCAAGTCTCTAGCTCTTATATGTTCTGATATCCTTGTGGTCATGCATACGGATAGACAGACAGACTGACATGGCTAGATCGGCTCGGCTTTTGATGCTGATCAAGAATATATATACTTTATGGGGTGGAAGATGCTTCCTTTTGCCTCATAAAGTATGTATATTCTTGATCACCGTCAATAGTCAAATCTATTCTGAAACATTAATATTTGAGTTACATTTCGTTAAAGCAAATATCAATCAGTTTTCGGAACTAGCATTTTGCTCACTGGTTTGATTTCATGAACAGTCGGAACAGCTTATTAACTGGCACAAAACTACACAAGAGAAAGGTTTTAATGCTCTACATATTATTGAACATCTACATATATTTTAATTACAGCAATGATTTCTCCTGGCTGCAAACAGAGCTTAAAACATTTTAGAAATTCGAATTTTTACAAATGTTATTATAATGTTTGTGAAATACCTAGTCGTCCTGATACACTAATTAATGAAGTTCAGCATTATTTAATTATTATTTAATCAAGAATGAACATTGTACAGTTCGAGGATATTAGACTAAGAAAACTACCCGTTGATATTAAAATTTCAAATTTGATGAGTTTAGTATAAATTACATTAAAAAATTTTATTTGTTGATAAGAATATTCGTGTAATAAGTTGATTAAAAATTGTATTTTGGTTCAATATTAATAATATGAAAGAGTTGTATTTTTCAGCAAATGCGATACAGCATCTTGCGTTGCATTCTATGTTGAAGCTCCCCGCGGCGAATCATCGTATGAATAACTTTCATTACAGTTCGCTCCTCGTATTTTTGACGCAAGAAATCCTAAATTGCAAAAAATATATTAAATAAATTGATATATTATGGTGTACTGCTGTAGTGATAATTACCTGCATAATATTTTGTTCAGAAACTTGCGATCCGATAGCAAATCGCCTTTTAAGTTGCTTTTCTATGCGGTTTAAAGTTTCCTGGTCTTCCTCAGTGGTAAAGCCCTCAGCACCAGCCAGACTGCCTGTCATGGCAGCGTCAAGGGTAGACACTTGAAACAGACGAAGCGCTTCATTTACATGGTCATCCATAACAAACGGAAGTAAACGCATTTTCGCCAATGACTCAGATATACGAATGACAGCTTCCAACTGACGCACTGTAATTGGAATACAATGACGTTTATCCGCCGACTTTTCCTGCTGGCCAGCACCACATCGCATTAAAACGTAGCGGCTTTTTAGTTTTTCACCAGCAGCCTCGCTTAGACGCGGACCGCAATGAGTACGACAATAATGGATGTACTTTTTAAACATAGGCAACGAAATTTCACCTTCTTCTGGCTCAAAGGGCGCCGACTTGTTTGAGCTCAGATGAACGTTTATTATGTGCTTGGCTAAAGTGATGTCTCGAGTCTCGTCGTGCACATCTTTTACGATAAAGATCATGTCAAAACGTGAAAGAATCGTCGGCATGAAGTCAATGTTCTCTTCACCCTTTGTATCATCCCATCGACCGAATATCGAGTTGGCAGCTGCAAGCACTGAGCAACGGGAGTTCAATGTGGTTGTAATGCCAGCTTTCGCAATCGAAATCGTTTGCTGCTCCATGGCTTCATGAATGGCAACACGGTCATCCTCACGCATTTTATCGAATTCATCAATGCAAACTACGCCACCATCAGCTAGAACCATAGCTCCACCTTCCATAACGAAATTACGCTGTGGATGAAAAAATAATCTTGAATGATTATTTACTACAGTTAAGATTGCGTATACAAGTATTAATGTTTATTATGGTATATTTCATTTTAATATTAATCATATAATATAATACTCACTGTGTGCGGATCCTTCATAACAGATGCCGTAAGACCAGCTGCGCTTGAGCCCTTTCCAGACGTGTACACCCCAATGGGGGCTACTTTTTCAACAAACTTTAGAAGCTGCGACTTAGCGGTACCTGGATCGCCCAAAAGTAACACATTTATATCGCCACGACGACAAAGTCCGTCCGGGAGACGTTTTCGTGAGCCCCCAAATAACATGCAAGTTATGGCCTTCTTAATGTCGTCGGAACCAAATATGCTCGGTGCCAAGGATTTTGAAAGACGATCATAAATATCTGATGAAGCGGCGATGCGCCGGAAGTTCTCCTCCTCTTCAGTGGATATGTTAGTATAGCGCGAAACAGCGCCTGCTCCTTCTGCATCAACGGTTATGCCAACCACACGCATATATGGCGCACGCACTCCGAGAACAGCCTTTTCGCGACCATCTTGTCTCGTCGGCTTACCAACCTTACGTATTGAATAAATTCCTTGTATAAGCACTCGATTGCCGGGAACAACACGTTCGCAAAGTGAACGATCGCAAAACAATTGCAAATGGC